GTTTACTCTATACTTTTTTAGTAAAAGTTTACAAAATACTTTGGGCTCAAATTGATTTTTTTAAATCCTATTTTTTTCACTACTTTTCAACTTTAGTAGGATATGCTTTGTTTAAACGTACTTTAAATATATTGTTCATATTTTTTTGACTTTTTTTATATTTTTTTGACTTTTTCTATATTTTTTAATACTTTTTGGACTGAAGAGGATCTACGCGATTGAACCGGCTGGCTTACCGGTTACTCCGACCTGGCCTTTGGCCGATTTTTTAGGCTGGTTTTGCTTTTCAAACACTAATTTTAATTGACTTACAACCGATCAAAATTTTACTTTAGATTAGATTGGCCATTACACTACGGGCTTACAACCAATAAAAAATTTACTTTGGATCTGACTGGGCAATACACTACTGTGCGGTCACTGATGGCTCATTCCATCAATACATGGATTCTCGAGCGACTGTAAGGTTCTTGATACTCGAGTTACATCTTTCGGCAATATTTAGAAGTGCGGCCTTAATTATATAGTATAATATGAGCATCCTATACAAACCTGAACCAAGGAAAAATGAATCACTTCTATCCCGAGTTAAAGTAAGTGGCCCCTAAACAGGTTTCAAAAGATTCCTATATTACTTGAAAACTGATGGGAGAGCATGAGCTAACTAGCTCGCCACTCAGAAGAAGGAAAATTAAACATCCAAATTAGCTTGAGTGCACTGGAAAAGAGCTTGACTTAATTGGTTTGCGTTTGATGCTTTGCAACGGTATGATTTAAGCTCAATGTCTACCGAGTTTAGGGGCCCCCTCCGCACTGACTTACCCAAATTTTTTAAGAAAAGAGCCTGGCTGAATTGGTTAGCCTTTGACGATTTGCAACACTATGATCTAGGTTTAATTCATCCTACCAAAAGTAGGGGCCTCTCTCCAATGACTCACCCAAATTACTTATCCAAAAAAAAACAAACTTCATTATAAAATTTAAAATTTAAATAATGTTGTTGATCGAGTAGATTTAGAAATACTTTCTCAAGAAGAAAATCCAGATAGGGATTTCTTGAAAGGGAAATTAGTGAAAACTCTCCAAAGATAAATTATTTTACATCTTACTTACTTTTTATGTAATTTGAAAAATCCAAACATGTGTGAAAATGTTACATGCATGAGAAAAAGAGGCTAAGTCACCATAGGCTTTTGTCCAATAAGCTTCTGAACTTTAACTTAGCATCAAGGTTGAACCCTTGATGTCCCTCATTCAAGGCGATATGCATGCCTCTAAATCAAAATGAGTTTCCCTCCTGAAAAATTAGGACTAAAAACTCGATTTGTTTTTCTTTTTTTAAAAGGTGAAAACAAGCACGGGATATATTTTTCTCTTTTCTTTAGAAAAAGTTTATATAGAGCCGAGGCTCTAAACAATCAAACTAGAGCCCACCTCAAAAATTTCACTAGAAGAGGTTGTTTTATGCCCTAGTGTCTTCAAATTGATCATCTAGACATCAAGATGCATGGAAATGAGAAAAAAAATTTGGATTTAACGTATTGCAAATAGTGCATCTTGTAACGTATTTTTGGACCGTCAATTTACATGATTTTCATATATCTGCTTGATCTACACTATGTTTTAAGATTTAAATTTTATAATTAAAGATGAAACTATATTTTAAGGCTATCATAAAGATTTCCAATATTGAAATCACATTTCTCGATATATTTGAAGGTGTACTTTAGTTTGATTGTTTACTATGCTTCTCTTATAACATAAAGCTTATATACTTCCCCATATCCAATTGTCCATTCTGAATGGAAAGTTAAAAATGTCCCAATCACAATGTCACATCTGTATACTATTTTATTTTTAATTTTTTTTATAAACTATTTTAACACCAAATTTTGGACGTCCAATCCTCTATTAAACCGGTACTAGTGAATAATATTAAAAAAAAATTTCAATAAAATAAAATGATCAAAATATTTCTGAAAGTTTTAAAAGGTATTTTAATTATTATATTTTATCAAAAAATTATTTTTAATATTTTTTATAAGTGTATTTCAATAAAAGTACGACACGAATCAAATTTCATATTCATACAATTTATATAAAAAACACTAAAAATAAAATATTTGGAAATGTCGGATTTAAAATCAAATGGTAAATGACTCGATCAAAATTGGACAGGAGAGGAAACATAAATCTTCCTGGGTGGGGGGGGGGGGGAACTATAAAAAGCACTGGGGCTTAAAAGGTAAAATTGAAGAAAACTATAAAAATAGACAGCGAGAATGATAGACGTGGAACGAACTTTCGTCCGAAATTTCAATGAATATCGGGGCAGGACAGCATGGGGTGGCGTCATCGCGAGCGAGCGACAGACGGTCGCCAGGACCCGCGGTTGTGACCGTGGTACGGCGATGGTTGGTGGGCCCGTGACGCTCATCCTTCTCCCTGAACATTCCCATCCATGAGGCTGCCAAGTCACCCCTTTTACGACACGTGTCGATATCATGGACACGTGTCGATGTCTTGTATGTCGTGGCTTTTGAGAGGGCGATCGCCCCCACCCCTCCTCAATCATGCAAGTCCTTTCTCAAGCACCCCTCTCTGCCTGACGCTTTCACCACAACACCGAATCTTGTGCTTCACACTTTCTCTCTCTACTACCGCCTCCTCTCTCTATCATCCTCC